AATTCAATTCCATAGAGAAATCCAACTGACTGTGTAAGAAGATCTGGTTTGTGAACCATGATACTAATAACTCGTGTTTAATAATCCATAGGTCGTCGATATGTGGGTGCAAACAATTTGCAAGAGCTGTCAGACCATATCCACATTGTGTCTCATCACCTCACTCACACTAGTGTGGCTTCGTTATACCAATTCGGTGAGTCGAGTCACTTGTGGAAGCCACTTCTGTTCTGTTCTGTTCGGTGAGATTTGGATCATCGGAATCATGTTGATTCTCACTGTATTTTGTTGCTCACAAGAAAACTCGATATGATTGTGTGGCAATCTCCAATGAAGCATCTAAACCTGAAATCGAAACAACGAACAGATTCATAACTGAACGAGATTCGAGAAACAAACTCCCATACTTTCATTTTCGCTAACTATTCCAAATCGTCTCACGAATTCCATTTGATTGTTAGTGACTGGCCACATGTCTTATAGTTACAAGATCAAAACACACACAAGATTAATATCACAAGGGCTTCTTGTGGATATCATAGTAAACTTAATATTTGGAATCATGAGTCAATTGAACCTAGACCACTATGGAAATCTTGGAAGGCTCAGTAATCTAGATGCTAAGCGATCACGCGCGAGACCGATAGGACCTGGGTTCGGACCTCGCGTGCTGGGATGGTACATGCGCACTGCTGAGGAGTCCCACAGCAGGACGAAACGGCCGTCCAGTGCTCCCAGGTTTTCCATGGTGATCTAGCTTCGATTGACTCATGATCTCAACTATTAAGGGAACACACAAGATTATTCAATTTGAGTATGGATAAGCACTGTATTCATCAGTTGTTCCAATGATCGTATTCAGGTTTGTATTGAATAGTTGTTGTATCAAGTGATGATGAGTACTTGAAGAACAAACATTAAGTGTTCAGTCAACGTGAAACGAGAGATGAAAGCGTAATTTGGTGATAGTGGAACACTATAGATAACGTCAATCAATATACACAAATATGTTAATGATATAGAAATATCTTGACAGTTTACTAACTCAGCATAAAATATCTGTGAATATTTCTCGTCTACAACACATTATTGATGAATCCAATTTATTGAGTTTCATCATTAGTCTATTGTTAAAATAAGCCACAAAGTGTTAAAAACAAACAATCAGTCAAGGTCACATACTTCAAGTGAAATATTCATATCATTGATCAATATAATTGTACTAAATCAATGAAAATTCTGCATTTGTAAAATGACTGAATTGTGAGAGACATAGAAATCCGATTCAACTGCTACGATTCACAATTGACAACTCGTTCGAAAATATCATCATGTGAAGTTCATTTAAATATTCGGGAGTAGAACAATCTTGTGAACAATAATTGTGGAGATCATTAATTACTCACTTGTAATAACATTAGTGAAGATGCATTTTACCTATACGTTGTGGTTTGAACGAAGAATACACCACGGTAATATCTGAATGTAATTTAATGTGAAGACGAATCGAGTGATATAAGTGAATCAGTTCAACGAACAACTCTTATCGAGTAGTTGAGATGCATAACAGAGAATATTCGATTCAGAGCATGATCGAGAGCACCCAGTCAGTATTATGAGCTAGAAGGTTGCATGGTATCAATTTCTACTCACTGAATGATTTGAATATGTACAAATAGCCAGTTGTTAACTGAATAACGTAGTTATGACATCTACGTGTTGAATCATATTAAGCACTTTAACAAACAGTTTATATTAGGAGCTGGTATATTCAGTCAATTAAGTTATGTACCGTCTTAAATTCACGTTTTGTTTGACCATATATATCATTCACACAGTGTCGTGATTCAATGAATATCTAATCAGTTGAGTGCATCGATCAGTGCCAAATATAGACACTACAATTCAAAATCATATTCATCTTTTACAATAATCTCATTACATACGGTATGGTGTGTTGCTTCGTGGTTATGATTGTCGTCTAGTTATCCACCAAAATAATGTTTTCTCCAATCAACATAACCACTCAAATTGTCCATTCCTCCCACCGACAACACATCACATCACATCACATCACGTTGTCAAACTTCACACCAAATACACATGTTCACTCAGTCACCAATACACATACTCAACATTTGATCAATTCAATTCAATTCCATAGAGAAATCCAACTGACTGTGTAAGAAGATCTGGTTTGTGAACCATGATACTAATAACTCGTGTTTAATAATCCATAGGTCGTCGATATGTGGGTGCAAACAATTTGCAAGAGCTGTCAGACCATATCCACATTGTGTCTCATCACCTCACTCACACTAGTGTGGCTTCGTTATACCAATTCGGTGAGTCGAGTCACTTGTGGAAGCCACTTCTGTTCTGTTCTGTTCGGTGAGATTTGGATCATCGGAATCATGTTGATTCTCACTGTATTTTGTTGCTCACAAGAAAACTCGATATGATTGTGTGGCAATCTCCAATGAAGCATCTAAACCTGAAATCGAAACAACGAACAGATTCATAACTGAACGAGATTCGAGAAACAAACTCCCATACTTTCATTTTCGCTAACTATTCCAAATCGTCTCACGAATTCCATTTGATTGTTAGTGACTGGCCACATGTCTTATAGTTACAAGATCAAAACACACACAAGATTAATATCACAAGGGCTTCTTGTGGATATCATAGTAAACTTAATATTTGGAATCATGAGTCAATTGAACCTAGACCACTATGGAAATCTTGGAAGGCTCAGTAATCTAGATGCTAAGCGATCACGCGCGAGACCGATAGGACCTGGGTTCGGACCTCGCGTGCTGGGATGGTACATGCGCACTGCTGAGGAGTCCCACAGCAGGACGAAACGGCCGTCCAGTGCTCCCAGGTTTTCCATGGTGATCTAGCTTCGATTGACTCATGATCTCAACTATTAAGGGAACACACAAGATTATTCAATTTGAGTATGGATAAGCACTGTATTCATCAGTTGTTCCAATGATCGTATTCAGGTTTGTATTGAATAGTTGTTGTATCAAGTGATGATGAGTACTTGAAGAACAAACATTAAGTGTTCAGTCAACGTGAAACGAGAGATGAAAGCGTAATTTGGTGATAGTGGAACACTATAGATAACGTCAATCAATATACACAAATATGTTAATGATATAGAAATATCTTGACAGTTTACTAACTCAGCATAAAATATCTGTGAATATTTCTCGTCTACAACACATTATTGATGAATCCAATTTATTGAGTTTCATCATTAGTCTATTGTTAAAATAAGCCACAAAGTGTTAAAAACAAACAATCAGTCAAGGTCACATACTTCAAGTGAAATATTCATATCATTGATCAATATAATTGTACTAAATCAATGAAAATTCTGCATTTGTAAAATGACTGAATTGTGAGAGACATAGAAATCCGATTCAACTGCTACGATTCACAATTGACAACTCGTTCGAAAATATCATCATGTGAAGTTCATTTAAATATTCGGGAGTAGAACAATCTTGTGAACAATAATTGTGGAGATCATTAATTACTCACTTGTAATAACATTAGTGAAGATGCATTTTACCTATACGTTGTGGTTTGAACGAAGAATACACCACGGTAATATCTGAATGTAATTTAATGTGAAGACGAATCGAGTGATATAAGTGAATCAGTTCAACGAACAACTCTTATCGAGTAGTTGAGATGCATAATAGAGAATATTCGATTCAGAGCATGATCGAGAGCACCCAGTCAGTATTATGAGCTAGAAGGTTGCATGGTATCAATTTCTACTCACTGAATGATTTGAATATGTACAAATAGCCAGTTGTTAACTGAATAACGTAGTTATGACATTTCCGATGTTGATGTCATGTGATCGGGATTGGAAGTTGTAAGTAAATGCGACACTCAACCATTTAACGGGTCAGCCATGCACATAAACGACAGTAAACACGAATGCCTTTAGTCATCAAATCAAATACATGATAACGTTTTGTTGAGCTATCTGTTTAGTTGATCAAGCGACACCTTAATTGACTAGACTCATTCGTAACTGTAAAATTACAAGTTTTGATATCGATCACTCATCAATACCGAATTGCTGTGCAACAATCTATTCTATCATCACTGTTTGTTTCCCAGATAGTATTCAAAGAGCGGAACAAATAGAAACAACAACCATTCTTCTTGTGTCCTCTTCTGTGACTAGATTCCAAAATTCACCAAACAAAATCATCGCACGTAAATACCAGTGCTATTCATTCAGTTTTGAAACCAGTCCATGTCAGCACACACATGTTTGTCTACATTAAACAACCACTAGTCATTCGAGGTAACCACTTTCTCTCCAAAGAGCGTGAAACCTTGGCCAACTGGGGCGTCCAATGCACAATTTACTTTAAATTGTCCAGTGAAAATTCGATAACTACACTCACTATCACACTCATATCTTGTACACAATATTCGATCGCACAGACCAAAAATAGTTGATATCCTCCGTTTCAAAATCAACTCCTCATCGATGCACTCAAATTTATCAAAATAAATTCGACACATGAACGCTTGCATGAATTCACCTATTTAACAGCATTTCGTTTCAAAATGAAATTATTCATCTCCACGTACACACAAACATCACACTTGTTACATGCATACAATCTCTGATTACGTAGATGGCAAATTCAATCTGCTCTGACACTGTCACTTTCGATTGATAAACACCATCGCCTAACATTCTACACGAGACCAATAACCAATGTTTGCTAAACATATTGATCACGAAAATCACTGGTCGACAAGCTTCACAAATAACTAAAACACACAATAACCACAATTCAACAACAATAACAATAACAACAACCACAACAGCAACAGAAAAGTAAATTACCTTGAATTCTCATCATCACACTCTGATTGGTTTATCTGTACTAGGTCACACTTTGAATGTGGCTGCATTGACAGAATCTGTCTGAGATGGATGATACATATAAGTTCATTGATTGGTCGTCTACTATGTCCAATGTAATTGTGTATAACAGAAGAATAAAATAGGTCAAGTTGTTTTCTGTCAACAAATCATCGGACGTGTGTGGACATACTTGGTCGTTCTCTCATTCACTAAACTACTTCTATTCATGTACGTTGTCTGCATTTTCCTCTCTATGTTTATTATTGTCATGGTAATTTGCGAGTCAATGTGTAAGTGACATGTTTAAACACTTCGTGGTGAGTGATTTTATAGGACAAGTGTTGAGGTCTCAAAGTGAGATATCGGTTCAATTAGAATGCATCGATAACGGATATTTGTAATTGTAATAGATTGCTCATTTCATTCAGCAGATAACTATACACTGTATTTGTCTGTTTGTGGAATTTATTCTACACGTGATGAGACTGGGAAATTCGTGTTCATTTGGTTAGAATAATGCCAGTTGATTCTCATTCTTCAATGTTTTGTTTGCATTGACCAAATAACTGCTTCTTTATGCTTATTATTCTACTTAGTTCATCCAGTCATACCGATGAATTCACGCAATTTTAAAAGTACTCAATTTGATTGCCATAACCTCAAATGAGTTAGATGTGTTTGCACTCTGGTTACGCGTGTACAATTTGTGCTGTTTACTAATTTTCACTTTATTTGCTGTTGGCATATAACTCACAATCGCCATATTTGATAAACCACAAATCTAATCGGTTTGTCTCTATAGCCAGATTGTGTAGAATAAACAGTTTGACCATCTTTCAGTCACAGAACAAACTTAAACAGCATCAAAATTCTTAATAAGCATGAACGGTACCAAGCCCTACACACTTTTCGGATTAGCATTTTCTTCTTTCTGGTGATATGTTGGCGTTTTAAAACAAACATGTATTTTCTGACATCTTTTGTTAACAAAATCGAATTATACTTAAAATGGAGCTATGTAACATAATGTTTCGAGAAATCACAAACGGGATATCTACGTCTTAATCACTTAACGGTAATTTTACTCGTTAACACATATTTCGTATATTTACATCAGTTATTATCTTCTTTAGTTGATTTCAAATCTGATATATGTATCGACTACCTATACACTGACAATATATGTGGTTCATCGTGACGTGCATTTTGCAATTAAAATGGAGTGTAGGATGAGATTCTTGACAATCTTACTTTTTAAATCTATATGGTTTCGTATCCATTTGTCACTTGTCTTCATAAATATTCACCGTTGTGAATTGCAGTGTCCCATAGTTGATAATAATAAGCGATCTTCCCACACATATGCTTAACCAGTAACCCGAATGAAAAAAGATGAGAGTTAGAAAGGAATGGACGCTTTTTATTGCTATTCACACTTATATAAATAGAAATGAAAGTCATTGCTTAGCTAATCAGTGAATGGTCTAAACAAGTGTGGCGAACTAAATGCTCTGTTACTCTAGAACTGATCTATAGTTGTATTTTACATACTTTCTGTTCAATATATTGTATTACTTCAAATGATCAAGTAAGATCTCACTGGAAGCAAATGCCTCTTAAATGGATATATGCCACTTGTTTTGTGATTATCTATGTGAACTGGAATAGCTTAAAGCCCCTACCCAATTTCCTGTTCTTAACCATTCATGAATATGCCACTTCCATGATGAAAGATCAATCGTCGACCCGTTTCTCGAAATCAAGTGAATATTGTTTTCAACCTTTTCTGATTATCTTCCGCTTATCATTTTATGAACAGACTGTCATCTGACCTAATTTCTTCAATCCTCGTAGGTGATCTCATTGATGTATAGATATGAAATAAACATAGCCGGTATTAATAATGAAATGATTTTCCTTCATTATTCATTTGCATAAAATTTCTAATAAACGTTCAATAAAATGTTTTGAATTCGCTTATTTGAAAAACAGTTTTGGTCATACTTAGAAATGAACCAAGGATCACATTCTTGAATCACAATTTTATATAATAATTATTAATTATATAACATGTGTTTGTACCATGGATTTTTTTTGGATTTTAAGATGACTACTCCATTTTATGTTCGACAATCTCATCTATCTTGGGTACCTGCTACTGCAGGAAAAGATCAACCAACAAATGGAGTCGAAGCAGATTCTCGTATTTATGTTGCTCGAGGTGAAGTAAATGGACATGTAATACCAGGAAAATTGCCTCTTAGAATAGGTGCAGCTTTTATACCTTGTGATGGAAAAGAACATGGACTTTGTAAATTTGAAATTTTGTGTAACACAAATGTATTTCCAAATCAATCATTGTAAGCAACAACAAAATTTGCAACGCAACTGTTTCTATAAATAATATTTGAATCATTGAATTTAGCTACGAATTCGATTCGGATAATTTCTAAATCATAACATAAGATCATAAATTTAAATAACCATCTTATCAAAACTCATAAAATATGAGTGGGTTTAGGGAACGTAAGGTTTTACTGTACTACCATTATTTTAAACTGTACATCTATGTGACAAATCTGAAGTCATTGCTAAGCTATTTGACACAAGTGGAAAGTGATTTAAATCTGTCAGACATGCAATGAGATCGAATTCTCTTTCTATTTATTATTTATATTGATGAATCTATTGCCAAAACTAATACTATTGTATTATCAATAGTTGGAATCATGAGTCAATTAAAGCTAGAATACCAATGGAAACCTGGAAGCACTGGATGGTCGTTTCGTCCTAGTATGGGGCTCCTCAGCAAGGCGCATCCGCGATCCCGCCCCCCGCAAGATTCGAACCCAGGACTTATCAGTCTCGCTCGCGGGCGCTTAACCATTAGACCATCATTGTATTAGTTTAATAAAATTCGATGTGGTATTGAGTTATCTAAACAATAATCACAGTTTTATGTTAATCATATTTGATGTAACATGATTATTCAGGCAGTTGACTTTCTGATCAACAATCTACTCAACATATAACTACATATCCCTTAGTTTCAAAACTTAAATGTTATTATTTGACTTGGATTTTTATGAGCATCTATTTTATAATGGTGGTTGATACTTCAGCAAAACTCACCTCATTTGCTAAGCTAAAAGGAATGCAAACTTTACATAAAATAATCATTGTGGACAGTAGATGAAAATTGTTGTTTCTTTTAGGGATTCATTAGTTGTTTATTTTATTTGAACCTTTTTTACGATATATGATCTATATAAACCAGACTATTATTCGTGGGATTCTGTTTATGCTAGTTAAACAGTTGTATGTTCAACTCTTTTGATCGGATCTAAGCATATTATAAAAGTTCACTTGTATAAAGAAAATATAATGTCATTCATGAAGTGTGTTCTCCCCACTTTTACATATTTATTCAGTTTGAGTTCTAATACGTTCATCTTATGAAGAGCTTTTATTTTTCCGTAACGTTAACACTTCAGTTTTTCCTATCGAGAAAATACTGCAACCTGTACAATTGAGTGTTTTAGTGTCAAAAAAAAACTGTGAAGATTTCTTATAATTAGTAATTGTCGAAAATTTCATTAAATTTTCAAGTATATGTCATGAACTTGACCGTACTTCAAGATCAATGTCGCAGATTTGTCATTACATTTAGTTTTCTTCAAAAGATTAAACACATCATGAATGTTCACACATTCTGGATATCTTTCATATTCACACATTATTAAGTCGTCGAAGATATTGAAAGTACTGTACTTATAATATAAACTGGTTACAAATGTTTTTGAATTAACCCGGGTAATATAATCTCTTGTCAAAATAAATGAATTGTGGCTATAAGTGGAATCCAGGATGAACGTTTTGCTCAATCTGGGACTCGTCTGCTAGATGTACCTTCATCCCAGTGGGACTTGAACCCAGTACCTTTCACTGTAGATGTCAGCATATTAATCTTTAAGCTGATGAATCCAGGTAGTCATTAACTTTCTCAACAAGTATGATATTTATGTCCTTATTAGTCAGGGTTTAAGTTATCTCGTTGTTGATATTCGGAACTGAATTTTGGTTTGTCCTTGTTGACATATATACATCTTATTTGGATTGAATCGACATATCCATACTGTCACTTTCTTAATGGCCATCTCAATACGAACAACGACACTGAGAGTTAAGCAGGTACATACAATTGACTAGTCCCAAATATGATGAGATGACTGTCCTTGATTTCACTACTTCCCACAATCCATCTAGATTAAATAAAATGTTTATATCGAGGTGGTCGGTACAGAATGGATATTTTGTAAAATAGAATGATTAATGTCCAGTCCTAAGCATCACCGACGAGAAAACTGAAACCCTTACTAGTAATCATTTAATAATCCCTTCAGTAATGCTTGTTTTCAAACTGTATATACATTTTAATATTTTCTTTCATCTACAACTCAAAAATAATCTTCTTTATTATTTATTTGGTTAACTGTTTGTCAGATACAATTGGATTCCAGCATCTGATGGTAGGGTCCCAGCTGGTGCTTTATTGGCTGGTACAACCACTGATGGTTTACCATTATATGTTGCTCGTGCTTCCATAAACAATGAGGTGTGTGTGGGAAAAGTAAACTCTGAATATGAATGTGCACTTATGCCTTGGGGAAATGTTGAACATAAAGTAAAAGAATATGACGTTCTTTGTTTGATTGAATAAACCGGGATAAGACAGGCAAATTCCTTTAACAAATTTAAAATATATTCTGTATAATAATGATTATAATAACTTGGCTATTGATTTTTTGAGTAATAATTCGTTGGGACATGGGAGGGGTTCATTTACGTCAAAAAATTTCTCACATTTAAAGTAAGTTATCCATTGTACAAACGAAATTACGATACATTATCGCTGTTAGCAGCTTCTTAAAACTGTAGACTTCTAACCATTATTTCAACCTTCTATCATCTCAACATTAATATAATTACTTCTTATCATTAACTACCTATGTTTTATATGTGTAGGTTTAAGAGTGGATGTTGTTAAAGAGAACATCCATATCGTTGTTCAGTAATCGTCCCTTATTTCTGAATAGAATTACGCTTAACACACTTTGAATTCTGCTGTCATACTGATCAGATTGAAGCCATCAAAGTGAAAAGGACTGTTGTTGTTTAGAGGTAGATCTGTAGTGAACGAGAACACAAGTGGGGACAACCAAATTTATTTTGTTATTGCAAAATGTCATTCGATAGTCTCAGACTTTATTGTTCCTTTATTTTTATACCAATAACTCTCTGCTCCCATTCTCTTCTATTCAGTCTTCTCAACTTTCTGCCGCCAGGCATCCCACTTTCAAATGGTGTTACACATTACTTATATCCGTCGACATAAGTAGCACACATCACAGTCCGTGTTTATTAGTGATGGAATTATTGTATATTCTGAGAGATATGGTTGTGAAGTGACCGAACTACTTTGAGACTAAACTCTGAGAAGAACACCTGTTTGCTGAACTATTCGCGATTTATTGAGCAAACTGAAATAAAGTAAAGGAATTTCCTCTTCAGTTTATTATTCCTATATCAATTGCATTTATACTACTTACAACATATTCAGTAGACATAGTGTTGCATTCTAAATAATAGCTTCACTTGAGCAAGTCGCTTATAATCGATATTACATTAATCTCCGCAAACCGTTTGAACCTGTACTTGAATCATGGATCCAGAAATGTTGATTAATAATTTCCATGCAGCTTAAGATAATTATTAGGTCTACTGAAGCAGTTACAGTCAACAAAGTAAAATTTGTGTGCAAGCAATGATGGGACAAACAGGAGTGAATTGTTGTTGATTACTCTATGATCTTCATTTCCATGTTTGATTAATTATTTTTCACTTGATAGGTTGAATGTGATAAGTACCAACGACAATGCTACTTTTCTAATCTGTGTTCAGTTACTTACATATATAAGTATATTGATATATTATTTTAAGTCAAATTTTTAGAAGTGAATTAAATTCTCATCCTTTACTTTTATCCTTTCTCTTGCGTCGAATAGTATTCCATTAGAGTTGGGTTTACTGAGTATATGAATTGAGTCTCATGTATAATACAAGGAGGAACTCTGCAGTTCATACAGTCTATATTATTTAGTAACATTATCAACTGAAAGGGGAAAATAAATCTCAATCACTAATCTGAAACCAATCTGATATCGTCACATCTACAAACTTCAGTCGTTTATCTATAGGATTTCGAAGGTAGACATAGTAATTTATATAAAGCATAGACATATATACGATTTTCCCCCTGATCCAGACACGGATGAATAGGTACGTAATTAACTAGGCTCATTAACACATATCACTTACCATTTGACCATGAGACGGGCATATAAGTAAGTAAGCAAATTGTGTCATAGAATCCATGTCAACATACAGACCTGGTCAGCTTGATATAAAAAGAAATGTTACATGTAAAATACAGAGATATAAGGTTAAATCGTTTGAAAAGTTATGATACATAAATTGTTTTCAGAAGAAATTTTTCACGAAGATAATAATAATATAGGACATCATTTAGAAATAAGTTATTTTTATTAGACATTCTACTGAGGTATCAATAGTGCATCGAGGGCTCATTTTCAGTACCATTATAGAGCAATCAATTCATTAATTAAAAAAAGAAAACGGGAATAGAACAATAACAGCAAAAATCACTATATTAGGTTTGGTGATATATGAACACAGGCACATGATATTCTCATACCTGGCCAGTCCATTAGATGTTAAAGAATACAAAAATAACGAATTGTGCAGAATAGCATGAATCTATTTTATTTCGTTCGGTTCTTATCAACTGCTATAATATTTTAAAATCAAAATTATCGTAAATTCTGCATATTTATAGGAGTAAAGTTGAAGTAGTAATTCGAACAAATGTGATGAAATTAAAGACATAAAGAGTGGTGTAAATAAATATAATCTATAAGAGAAGATTCCGGATCATCAGACAAAGCAATAAGAGATCATGGGGCTAAAACAGTTAACTGATTATGTAATGATGTAGTTGAACGTAAATCGATGGCAGTTAAGAAGAATATGACTTGAGACTAATCAGTTTAAAATAAAACTGCGAATTTGGAAAAGCGGTACAATTAAAATAAGAGTGGAAAAATCCCAAGAATGATGTAATAAATTAAAGATAAAGACACTATGACAAGGTAATATATGCAACTATTTGCATTTGGATACATAAGTCGATCTTGAGGCATTTGATGGCGACTGCATAGGAGGAATTTATGAAAACTTCTTCGACACTATGGTGTACCTGAGAAAATCGTCAACAATATACGGAATTCACACGACGAATACATTGGAAAGTCGTTCATGAAGGACAGCTGACAGACGCATTCCAAGTGACGACTGGTGTCAGACAAGGCCACTTACTTCCTCTTTCTCTTTCCTATGGTGGTCGACTGGATTATGAAGACCCCGACATCTGCGAGGAAGCATGTAATAAATGACCTGACCCTTGTATCTCATACGCATCGACAAATGCATGCCTGGACAAATAGTGAAGCAGCAGTCTCTGCAACAGTAGGCCTCAAAATACACAAGGGAAAAAGCAAGATCCTCAAATACAACACGGAGAATACTAACGCAATCACACTTGATGGAGAAGCTCTGGAAGAGGTGGAAACTTTCACGTACCTGGTCAGCAGCATCACTGATGAAAAAGGAGGATGTGATGTAGACGTAAAGGCAAGGATGTGCAAAGCAAAGGCTGCATTTCTACAGTTGGAGAACACATGGAACTCAAAATAACTGTCAACCAATATCAGAGTGAGAATTTTCAATACGAACGTCAGAATATTCCTACTGTACGAAGATGAAGAGCGGAGAACTACCACAACTATCATCAAAAACGTCCAGGTATTTTTAGGCAATTGCCTACGTAAGTTACTGAATGTCCGGTGACCGGATACCATCAGTTACAGCCTACTGTGGGAGAGAACAGACCAGCTTCAAGTTGGAAAGGAAATTAGGAAAGGGTGTTGAAAGTGAATGGGACAAACATTGAGGAAATCGCCACAGTGCATCACAAAGCAAGTGCTAAGTTGGAATTCAGAGTGGAAAAGAAAGAAAGGCCGAAAACACACTGTACCGAGAATTAGAAGCAGACATGAAGAGGATGAACAGTAACTGAAAAGAACTGGAAAGGATTGCCCAGGATAGAGTTGGATGGAGAAAACTGATGGGTGCCCTATACCCCTTCATAGGGGGATAACAGGCGTAAGGAAGTAATTAACTTACTTACTTACTTACTTACTTACTTACGCCTATTACTCCTCGTGAAGGAGCATAGGCCGCTCACCAGCATTCTCCATCCAACCCTGTCCTGGGCAATCCTTTCTAGCTCCGTCCAGTTGTAATTCATCGTTTTCATATCTGCTTCTATTATCCGACGCAATGTGTTCTTTGGCCTTCCTCTTTTTTGCTTCCCTTCAGGATTCCAAGTTAGGGCTTGCCTCGTGATGCAGTTTGACGATTTGCGTAATGTATGTCCTATCCATTTCCATCGTCTTTTCCTAGTTTCCTCTTCAGCTGGAAGTTGGTTTGTTCTCTCCCACAGAAGGCTATTGCTGATGGTATCCGGCCGATGGATGTTGAGTATCTTGCGTAGACAGCTATTTATAAATACTTGTACTTTCTTGATTGTGGTTGTTGTAGTTCTCCAAGTTTCAGCTCCATACAGTAGAACTGCCTTGACATTCGTATTGAAGATTCTCACTTTGATGTTGGTCGAAAGTTGTTTTGAGTTCCATATGTTCTTCAATTGTAGGAATGTGGCCCTTGCTTTGCCGATCCTCGTCTTTACGTCTGCATCTGAACCTCCTTGTTCATCGATGATGCTTCCTAGGTATGTGAAGGATTCTACATCTTCCAGAGTTTCGCCATCAAGAGTGATTGGATTGCTGTTTTCCGCTTTGAATTTGAGGACCTTGGTTTTCCCTTTGTGTATGCTAAGGCCTACTGATGCAGAGACTGCTGCTACACTGGCTGTCTTCATCTGCATCTGTTCGTGTGTACGTGATAGGAGGGCTAGGTCATCTGTGAAGTCCAAATCGTCTAATTGATTCTGAGCTGTCTATTGTATTCCGTGTTTTCCTTCAGATGTCGAGGTCTTCATAATCCAGTCGACCACCAGAAGAAAGAGGAAGGGTGAGAGTAAACAGCCTTGTCTGACTCCGGTCCTTACTTGGAATGCATCTGTCAGCTGTCCTCCATGCACGACCTTGCACTGTAGTCCGTCGTATGAGTTCCGTATAATATTGATAATCTTCTCAGGAACTCCGTAGTGTCGAAGAAGTTTCCATAACGTCCTCCTATCTACACTGTCGAATGCCTTTTCATAATCAATGAAGTTGATGTATAGTGATGAGTTCCACTCAACTGATTGTTCGACGATGATCCGTAGTGTTGCAACTTGGTCTGTGCACGACCAATCCTTACGGAATCCAGCTTGTTGATCTCGAAGTTGGGCGTCTACTGCATCTTTCATCCGGTTCAGCAACGCTCTGTTGAGGACTTTCCCTGGTATTGACAGTAGTGTAATGCCTCTGTAGTTTTCACATTTGCTCAGATCTCCTTTCTTTGGAATCTTGGCGAGGTATCCTTCTTTCCAGTTCATCGGCACTTGTTCCTTCTCCCAAATCTTTTTGAATAGGAGATAAAGCATGCTTGTGGTTGCTTCGATGTCTGATTTCAGTGCTTCAGCTGGTATG